CAATTATCATAAAAAGTCAAGAATGGCCTAATTAAGCCATTCTACACTGTATAAATGATGAAATTAGAACACTGAACTCCCTTAATTTGTGCATTGAAAGTAAATATATATATAAAAACCAGTTGATTAACTTTTGGAAACCAAAATAGTTTAGACCCCGACTTTAACAAAGTTTTTTAAACTCTGGCCCACATTCCTACTTTCTGCTAAATAACAGCCACCTCTGGTGAGACATCACCAAACCCCTTTTGAAAACTGGCTGGGCCAACATGCCCCAGGTACCAAGTTCAGAAGCTCTAAGAGGCAGGCAACAACATCAAACAGCACCCACAGGATTTCTCTTTCTAAATAATCCTGGTAATTTGTTAAAGTATGTACAGAGGTCACCCTGTCACATTGCCCTAACAGAAGGGTGATTACAAGAAATAAAGTACAACCAGTATGGACTACAGAAGTCAGCCCACGGGCAGACACAGAGGCATATGTGAACAGAGGCATGTGTAGATGGGGAGGATGGGTTGCAGGAGGACTGTAGAGAGAAGGAGGCAAGATGTCCTCCACAGAGAACCAGGGCCTGAGAGGTCTGTCCTCTTGAGACTAGAGAGGTCTTCAGTAAGCCCCCAAATCCCTGTCCTGTAGGCACTTTCCAAAACACCATCTGAACTGGGAAAGTTTGCACCCTCTGGGCACAGGGTAAACACTAAAGCCCTTCTTCCCAGCTCCTTCTGTACCCTTCCTGGCCACAGCATGCAGATGAGAGAGACCACTGCATGCAGATCAGGGAGGGACCACTGCATGCAGATGAGAGAGGGACCATCATATGCAGATGACAGGGGACCACCACATGCAGATGAGGGATTGACCACCGCATGCAGATCAGGGAGGGACCACTACCTGAAGATTAGGATGGATCACTGCATGCAGATGACAGGGGGCCACTACATGCAGATCAGGGAGGTGCTTAGATGCTAGCAACCCCCCTGAGCTCTTCTCTCCACTCTCTTCTTTATACTGGGAGTTAATCCTTGATTCATATACCACATGGGACATGATGAGGTACTCTTCCAGAATATGCATGGTACTACCATCTCTACCAGAAACAGGTCAAAGTCAGTCACACAGATAACACTATCTCTGCCTACTTGCTACTAACATTCACGTGGCAATTTGGAAAAGTCCTTTAGAAAACAAGCCTTAGTGAAATGTCACCTCTGCAATGAACAGTGATGGGTGTGACACTGGATGTGGCTGAAGGCCCTGGATCACACTTCACTTTAGCTGTTGTATTAAGCTGGCTATGAGGTATTGATTTTCTTGTTTTCCTATTATCAGAGGGCTCTTGCTAGAAAACACTGCTGGGTTGCTGATAAACAGAAGTCATGAAAACTGCCAATAATCCGAACGTGTACTTGGTTCACTGGACCCAAGGTGTAGAGCTGTTGAACTAGGCTGTAAACCAAATGCTATCAACTGAATGACATTAAGGTTCCAGACAAGGAACAGCCTGAATCCCCAAGGCCCAAAGGACTACATTGCTCTAAGGACTTTTCTGGGTGCTTTGTCTCACAACAGACCTCACAGGGCATCAGATAAGGGGCAGAAATGAGGGACACTCCAAAGCAAGCTGTGTAGCACTTGCTAAACCCAGTTGCTTGTCAGGCAGCCCACATGGAGAACCTACCACCACACAGGGCACCACACTTACTAGTAGACAGGATCTTTGACACTGGACAGTTGTGTTCTCTTATTATTCCTTAAGAGCACGGGTGACCAAGCCTAGGGAGCAAAGGTCAGCCCTTTTAGTTGTACAAGGGGGAGCTACTTATCCCTTGTAGGGATTTAAGCACCTGTGGCTGTTTGAAAGAGAATGGCCCCCATAGGCTCATATATATATTGAATGGTTAGTTCCCAGTTGGCAGGCTGTTTAAGAAGGATTGGTAGGTGTGGCTTGCTGGAGGAACTGTGTCCCTGAGGGTGAGCTTTGAGGTTTCAAAAGCCCACACCATTCCCAGTGTGCTCTCTGCCTCCTGCCTGCAGATCAGGATGGAATTCTCAGCCACTGCTCCAGCGCCATGCCTGCCTGCCTGCCACCCTAGAACTATAAGCAAACCCAGTGAAAAGCTTTCTTTTATGAGCTGCCTTGGGCATGGTGTCTCTTTACAATGGCAGAATAGTAACTAGGACACACCTCATCTGTCTCACCAGTCCAACCCCAGCACTGAATGTTGGATTGCTCCAGGAATTAATCCCTGAGATCAGACACTATGAGTCCTTTGCACCATGCTACCAATTCCCCTGCCAACTTCACAGTCACCCAAGAATCTATATAATTTGAAGCCAATCATTCCTTAAATCTTCAGACATGAAAGGTCCCAGTGATGACAAGAGGTACAGTATCTGTGGCAGAGTGGTGTGCATAGCTGCCTTCCAATGACAACAGTAAAGTGTGCCCATCATCCACCATTTGGGGTCAGCCTTAAATCATCCTGGAATTGAGTAAGGGATCCTGGATCTTTGGGTTGCTATTTTCCACATACTTCTCTCCTAATGGAGAGAGAAGGGCTTGAAACTATGGGGTGTTGAAACACTGGCACAGCAGTACAGTTGTCATGTGAAAGCCATGAGTGATCCTTGCAGAAGAGGGAAGTGATACAGAGAAATGTCCCCAAGTCATCTGCCAACCAAGCACAGTGGGCCCTCTGCACCTGTGGGTTCCACATCTGATGATTCAACAGACTGTGGGTGGGAACAGTGATAAAAACAAACTGCACCTGCTTTGAACATAGCCTTGCTTTCTTGCCATCACCCCACTAAATAATACAGTCTGACAATTTACAGGGTGGGTCTCTATAATGCGCATTATAAACCATCTAGAAATTATCTAAAATAAAGATGTCTGCCAGGAGTTAAAAGCAATATATATATATATATGAATGATACTCTTCTCAGGGATTGGAGCCTTGTGGACTTGGTGATCTCAGGGAATCATTGAAGCTGTCCCCTCAGCCATGCTCTCTCTGTGAAGCCACTGCTGTCGAGCAGCAGTCTCCTCTGTGATTGTGGCCTTCTGCCTTGGAAGGAAGCGCCATAAGACACGGGTTGTGTCCTGGTTGGCTCTTTGTCAACTTCACACAAGCTAGAGTCCTCTGGGAAGAGGAACCTTGGTTGAGAAAAACACCTCCATCAGATTGCCTATAGGTAAAGCTAGAGAGCATCTTGATTAACAATGCTATAGGAAGGGTGGTACCACCCCTGGGCAGGTGGTCCTGAGCTTCATAAGCAAGCCATGAGGAGCACGCCTCTGCAGCCTCTCCATCAGTTCCTGCTATGGCTTCTCCTATTGATGGGCTGTAACTTCTAAGAACTGAGGTCTTTTGAGCATACATGGCAGCCTACAACACAGGCAAATGCTGCAGGCCATACATCCCACTCCCTGTCACACCAAGTCACTTGCTTGCCAGAGGTCAAACTAAAGCACTGCTCACTATAAATTCATCTCCCAAGTGTGGAAAGATGTAGTCACATGACTCCATCCTTCATCCAGATCCTTTGTCTTTCCCTGTCTCCTCTTTGAACTCACATACCATCAGAGCTACAGGTCCAGTCCATGCTGAGGATAGACACACCTCCATGGTTAGTCTCACTCATGAGCTTATTTCCCCAAGCCTCCCTCTTCTCACTCATGCTGGAGTCTGTCTTCGGCCTGGAACTCCCAACAAAGTAGGAGGACAGTTGGTGGGTCATCTATCTTAAAAACCACAGAGATGGTAAGAATAACACAGTCCCAAGTCAAAGTACAACACACTGAAGGGGACATGCAGGCAAGATGCACGAAGCACTCTGTGAAATGGAGAAGAAGAAAATCTCAGAGATAAGAGGTGGCAGCCATACCTCATGGAAGTAGAGAACGAACACATCGGACAAGTTAGTTGTGTGGGAATTTAAGGGGTCAACTGATATATGACTCAGTCCCAGGCCCTCAAGAAGTGTAACAAAAGACAAAAAAAAATTACACCATTTGCAAACAAAGATGTCTATGCCAGTCTCACATATAGGAGAAGATGCCACCTACCACCTGCATGTTCAGTAGCAGGGTAGGCACATACAACAAACAAGCAAACAACAAATGGCAATCATGTGGCCCAAATGTAACATTCAAAGGGCAATGGAGCTGGGGGAAAATAGGGCTTTATAAACTAGGGGAGCAGCGAATATAAAAGGCCAAAGAGAAATTCTTTTATACAAATGCAGTAATTACATCTACTCACAGTGATTTCTTTTTTCCTGTTTGGGGGGTTGGGATGGTGGTTTTTCAAATGTGTTTGTTGGAATACATACTTGCTTTGATAGAACTTAAATAAACCATGGTTATGCTTAGACCCCTTGTGTTAGAAAACAATTCTTGGTGCTCTCCCTGCTGCCTTCCTAGGAGGTACTAGGGAGAACTCTGCTCTGCTTTGCTTTGTTCTCTTTATTTAAAAAAAAAATTATTCTCCATGACTTTATCAGATTTCAAGTAATGATTTTCAAGGCAGTAGATTTTCACAACTAAGTGCCTGTCAGGTCAAGTGAGCTTTGGAGACACTGCAATGGGCACTAGGTAGGGAAGTGCATGAAAGCCTACATCCCCCTTTGCCACCATTCTGACCTGTGTCCTGCTGGCCTGAGGTAGCCACCTCAGTGAATCAGAAGGTAGCATGGATCCTCTCCAGCCAGGAGCAGATTTGGGCAGTGGAATATAGACTGAGTCCCCTGAGGGCAGGGCATTTCCTAGAAGATCAGGGCTGCCAATCAGCTCTGGATTCCCGGATTTAAGGAATGGACTTGTAAGTGACCAAACCATCAGTTACTGAACAAATTAGCTTAGCTCACATTGTGAACTGCACAACATCGAATCCTCCTTCCAACTGTCATCACCCTTCTTAGGCTTCACTATCTACTGGGTGATATCCCACTGTCCAGGGCCCTCTACACCTTTTCCAGGGGTAGTTAAGGCCTACCTGCTCTTGGGGCCACTTTGGCCTGTCCTCTGGGGTTCTGGTCTTGGTCTTGAGTCCTCTCTGGGGGTCTCCAGGGTGTTTAGCCTCAGGGGGAAGTTTCAGAGACTTGGGCCTTGCCTCATGCCTACTGGGCCCATGGCCAGTTTCGCTGGGTGGACAGCCCTCTGTGGAATCCCCAGGATCCAGCTCAGGCATATGCTCAGGGCTAGCTTCACTGGCACTGGTGATACTGGTCATGCTCAGGCTCATCTTGATCTCAGCCACTATCTGGTCAATGTCTTCCTCTTGATCCTCCAGGTCCCCATCCCCACGCCTCATGCGATAAGGGGAAGCGCCACCTGTGTTCCCATTGGCCTCTGTGGGGTAATAGTCCTGGTAGTTCTCTTTTCTGGGACAGTAGTGACCATCTTCTTCCTGGTTGTGGACCTCCAAGGCAGAAGGGTCATCCTCTGGAATAGGCAGGTGGCTGTCTTGGTATTCCTGACTGTTTTCAGCCCCGTGGCTATGAGTATGAGGGCCCACTGAGTCTGTCCACTCCTCCACTGCTTCCTGACACTCATCGGTGTCCACAGGATGTGCACCATGGGCTATGTACTCCTCCCCATTACAGTCCATGCCCTCCAGGTAGCTGTCATCCTCAGGACAATACCGGATGTAGTAGGTGACACCCTCCTCCTCCTCTGGGAGGCCTTCATCATAGTCCTCCTCCTCTGATGTGTTGTTCACATAATCAGAGCTGGAGTCCCCATCAGGGCTATGGTTGTGGCACTCCTGTTCCTCAGGCGTGGGGCTCTCTGGCCGCAGAGCTGCCAGCTCCAGGCCTGTGGGTACATAGCTCTCCAAAGGCAGCTCTGTGTCCTCGCTATCAGGCTCCTGGTCATGGGGGATAAGACCTGGCCTGGTCCTGTGGTCCAGCATACTGCTCGAAGTGCTCTGGCGCTTTCGGTGGGCCATGGTGAACACTCACACAGCCATTATCACCTGGAAGCAGCCACTGTGGAGAGGAAGGTAGAGAAAGCGATCAGAGTCACAGAGACCATGGCCAACCACGATACATTGCACTTGCTATGTGACCAAGCCCATGTCACTGTATCTTGACAGCACATTTTCTCAGAGCACTGTGGATGTAGTTATTCAAAGGATGTGTGTGGCAGTCCTATCTGAATGGCTCATGGGCAGGGGAAAACCTACAACGAGGCCGGAAGCATCTGAGGACAGGCAGAGCTCAAAAGAAGGCATGGAGGAGAGGACAGTCACCAGGATGCCCAAGGCCACATTAGAATTTATAGACTCACTGGTTTGTGTCACTCTGGTGCTAGGGGAGAAACCTAAGTAGTTGGTATGGCCCTGCGGACACTATGGCATGTAGGCTCATTCTTGACCTCTACACAAGGGCAACCTGGGTGGCCAAGCCAAAGGGTCACAAGATTGGGTCAATTGCTCTCAAAAGAGAATGAGTAGCACCTATTGAAGACACCATGACCAATGAGGAATGACATTAAATAGTCTGGTCTACACCTGTGCCTCAGTACTCACATATTGAAGCATCATACTGTACCCTGCATTTACACCATCACTACATGTCAATAAAATTAAGTGTACAAATAAAGTATGTGTGCTGGTTAGTTTAATATCCACTTGATACAAGCTAGAGTCATTTTGGAAGAGGAAACCTAGATTGAGAAAATGCCCCAACTGGCCTTAAGGTGTCTAGAGAGCATTTTTTTTTGACTGAAGACTGATGTGGGGGGGCCCAGCTCAGTGTGATTGGTGCCACTCTTGGGCAGGTGGGCCTGGATGGCATAAGATAGCAAGCTTGACAAGCCATGGAAGCAGCACCCCCCCCCCCCGTATTAGCTCCTGCCTCCAGGTTCCTGGCTTGTTTGAATTCCTCTCTTGACTTTCCTTGGCAACCTGAGGGTTCTGTGTTGAAATAAACCCTTTCTTCCCCAAGCTGCTTATGGTCATGGCATTTTGTCACAGCAATAAAAGCCAGAATTATGACAGAATTGTTGGGAAGGCTGGGTAAGACTCTGCACAGAAGGAACACTTAGATTCTTTATTTTTGGCTTAAACATCTTTAACTGTTAAAATGCACTACTTTTATAACACACTGAAAACACTAATTAAATCTGAAGTTCCCTGAAGTCCACCTCAGTCCCCTCCTCTGTAAGTCTGCCCTGTCCTTTCCCTCCTCCCATTCCATAATGGTTTTCATAGAAAAGTCAGTCAGTAGAACTGTCTTGGTTGAGCAACAGAGAACTCAATACATGTCTGATACCTGGCAGGTTTGGGGGCTCAGCAAGAAGGAGACAGCTGCCCAGCTGGGGGCACAAGAGAATCAGGATGTAGCTGCAGTCCAAAGGGTATGCAGCATGGAACCATAGGAACCCTGCAAGGGTCCTGTGTGCCCATACTGGGACAGCATTGCCCCCATTGCCCTGCAGTCAGTGTTTCATCTCTTAACCAAGCATGGTCATTGGTATTGCCAGTGGGCACATACAGGATTCCTCTGCTGGGATCCCCTCCATGGGCCTAGCAGGGACCAGTTGCTTTGGGAAAACAGGAAGCTGGAGGAAAGGCAGCTGACAAAGGCTATCACAGGCTTCAAGAGGGGGTGGGTGCTAGATTCAGGACAAAGGTGGGTGATAATACAATATCTTCTGGTTGCATCACAATTACTTTATTTTCTATGTGTACCTGAGTGTTTGTGTGCATACATGTATGTGCACACATACAAGTGCCTGTAGAGGTCAGAAGACAACATGTAGAAACTGGCTCTATCAAGTCATTAGCCTTGGTTGCAAGCAAATTTCCTCACTGAGCCATCTCACCAGCCCATAGCTGTTAATTTTTTAAAAGTATATTCCAGTCATCTAGTTAAGATATGAGAGCTTCCATTAAAATAAAAACTGGTTAAGGCAGTTAATTTATTTTATATCTATTTTACCACAGCTAAATAAAACCACAGAAAAGAAGTGAGACACTAGATTAGACCAGTGGAGGGTGGGAGCTCAGGAACTGAGCAGGTATTTAGGTGGTGAAGGTAATATGTAAGACATGGGGAGGCTGAGGACAAACTACCAGAGTAGTCCCAGCAGCTACTGACCAGGTTCTGAGCACAAGCCCTCAATAACCTTATTCTAAAAACCATGCCTCCCCACAGGGCTCATGAGCCAGAGCTGTGCACATCCTATTTCCCAGAGTGCTGTGCACAGCCCCTTACCTGCAGTGGTACCAAAAACACACCACAATGAATTTCCCATGTACCAACAAAACAACAACAACAAAAAACTCACCCCACTTACACTGGGATAGCCAGTTACCCCAAAACGCCAGGTAGGGATGTCCCTGGATTACAATGAGGATACATCCTGATACCCTTGTTGCACTTTGAAAATACTGCACACAATCTAAAGGTCAGCTTTTTAAAGTTGGGAATTTATCTCCACTGGTTTAGTGAGGATTCTATGAGTGTAATTTATAGCTAAAGCTTTGTGGGAAAATCTCACTGGGTATTTCCAGTGCTATTCATTTTAGAATTGTTTGTCACTCATCTGCAGAACTGGTTAATGAAGGGACTGTTGCTTTAAAAAGGAAGGGACGGGGAAGATAAATTTCTATAAATTCTGCTAAAATATTTATCAAACAAATGAGTTGTTAGGAACTTTTAAATTCCTGCTAATGAACTTTTCAGTAGTCTTTTTTGTTTGTTTGTCTTTTGTTTGTTTTCCAGACAGGGTTTCTTTGTGCAGCCTTGGCTAGTCTGGAACTAGCTCTGTAGACCAGGTTGGCCTTGAACTTATGGAGCTCACCTGTCTTTGACTCCTGGAGTGTGCCATCAGGCATATTCACTTTGAGGCATGGAACATATTTTGTGCAGAAAGCATAAATCTTGATTCTTATCATAAGATACACTGAAAAAGTGGTTGAATGTAGTTGAATGTAGTTTCTATTGTGAATGTTTTGCTTTTATAATCTATGAATAAGAGATAAAAGTTTCTAACAAAAAGTAAAGAGAAGAAAATCCTGTAAGTAAGACAATGAATTCAGTCCCTCTAACCCAGAGAGCATCGGCACGTAGCCTCCCTGACCCCAAACACACTCATGATCCAATACTTACTTGCATTCACCTACAGTTGGGGGAAATCCTCTAGCACGAAGTGAATCTCCCACTAGCTACTGAATAACTCTACTGGATTTTAAACATTGTTCTGGCAGTGAGAAGCATGTTGGCTGCATGGCTACACTGGCACACCTTTATACTTGAGAGTTATGAGTTCTAAGAAAGACTGTCTACAGTAACCTTTGTGTAAACCTAGCTTTCCCGAGTCTCTAGCCTATGCCATTTGTCCACTCCAGCACCAGCCCCATGCCACTTTAATTACTGTGGCTGTGAGACTGCAACACCAGACAAGGCAATTTTCTCCATTATTCTCATTTCTTATCCCCCCATCTATTTTCACATCTATTCTCCCAGATGATCTTAAGAGTTATTAAGTCCAAATGTCCTTCAATATGCCACCATTAATGTGGTTGGTATAGCCTTCAATTATCAATTATTGTAGAGAAATTTTCAAACACTGGATCTTTTTTATCCAATTTCATTCCACAAATAGTTCTACATTTACCTAAGTCCTAAATGACTCTCAATGGCTTTGTAGTTTTCTTCAAGCTTATAACATCCTTTGTTAAGTTTATTCTTACATTATTTTCATGTTGAATGAAGTTTCTCTCCCCTTATTTACCTGTTTGTTACTGGTATGCAGGAAAATTACATCTTGTTAACCTACTTGTTCCTGATTGCTTTTAGTTGATACTGCTGTGTCCCTAGGCAAATGACACCACCTGCCTTGTTTTTCCTTCCCATCATGTGGTCATCTCACTGACCATCTCCTATGTTCTTCCCTGTAGGATTAACTAAAAGTGGCACTAGATGCATCCTTCGTTGTGGTTATTTGAATGATAAATTTCTCCCATAGGCTGACAGGTGTGGTAGCACTATTTGGGGAGGTTTAGTGGGGCAAGCTAGCTGAGCAAAGTAAACCACTAGGGGTAGGCTTTGAGCGCCACGTCCAGTCTGCTATCTGCTTGAGATTTGGTGCTATCACACTCAGGATGAGATGGCTCTTTGCCACCACATTCCTTTGGTCGTGCCTCCCCCCCGCATTATAGACACTTTAAAACCATAAGCACCCCAATAAACTCTTTATGATTTATGAGTTATTTCTGGCTATGGTTTTCTATCACAATAACAGAAAAGTAACAACTATATGGATTTATTTCTAGTTTCAAAGATTTATCCATTTTCTGTGTACCTATTTTTGTCACTGTATGCTCACACATGTATATATAGGTGCACATGTCCATGCATGTACATAGAAGCCAAATGAAGATGGCAGGTGTTTCCCTGTCACTCCCTGCCTGTTCTTTGGAGGCAGGATCTCTCTCTCAACCTCGAGCCTCTATTTTCTCAGGTGGGCTAGAAGCCAGCAAGTCCTGGCTTTTCCTTTTTCGCTTCCCCCAGAAGTGGGGGTGACAGCAGTCTTGACTGCTAGGCCATATCTCAGTCCCACCACACCCTCCATTCCTAACATAAATAAAATCCTTTTGATTTATTGGTGATTTCTCAGGGCTGCTAAGACAAGTGAGGCACCAAAATTTTCAGGAAGCAGACAAATAATATTTTAAATACAATGGTTTAAAACATGTCAATCAATCAATGACAAATATCAGAATATTTAGGAAAGATGGAGTTGATATTACTGATTTTTCTTTCTTTCTTTTTTTTCTTTTGAGCCACAATGCAAAGGTAAGGACCTGTTTGCTTTTTGTTTATTTTTGTAAATGTTTCACTATGAAATGTAGCTGTGGCATCTGGGTTTGACATAGTTCTAATCTGGGCCTCATTTTCAGTGGCTACAAAGGGAAAGGACCCATGGTGGCCACCAAAGAGTCTGCAGAATTACATTTCACCATCTGGGTACCTTCCGGTATAAAGAAGGTGCACTCCCGCTAAAGATGGACACTAAGGTCCTTGTTCAAACTCAGCAGCCAGTTTCCTGAGAAATTTTGGGCAAAATATTTGAGATGGCATCCACACTTAGAAAACTAGAAATGCCATATCTGCCTGAGGTTAAATAGGAGAATACTTTGTTATAGCAACAAAATACCTGAGGCTGGTAGCTTCATAATGGAAAGTGGTTTATTTAGATGAACTCCAGAGGGTTCCAGGCCAAAATGCCAGCACCAGTTCAGTTCTAGAAAAAGCCTCAGAGAAGATGGCACAGGTTTGGTTGGTAGAGTACAGTCAAAGAGGTGGGGGCAATGCTAACCAGGGAGCTAATTAGCACTCCAAGGAGCAATCTTGCTTTCAAAACAATTGGCTCTCTCAAAAGGTAACTCAGGATCTCACAAGAACCACCTTAATCCCCACCGAGAACAGCACTCCAAGTGACTTAAGGGTCTTCCTCTACTCCATCTCTTAATGGCACCATCACCTCCCTCTGTTATCACACAGGATCACAGGATCCAACTTGCAGCATATTGACTGATTGACCTCTTGAGCAACATGCCATATTCCCACCACAGCAGAGTGGCTGATTCAGGACTGAACTCAACAAATAGGGAGTTAAGGAAAGCTGAAAATGAATGCTAAGGGAGATGATGCATGGTCAGAATTGTGTCTTAAGCAGCTCTACCAACACAGTAGGAAGAGAGTGGCAATGGCAGGTGACACTGAGCCTGGTACACATGTGCATCTATCTCTTCTGTGGAAATGAGAGGGCATCTAGGTAATAGTGCACACAGAAGAGGGGTCACAGCAGGAAGCAAAGGGCTGCTTCCCAACAAGGTATTGAGTTCACTTTGAAGGGCACAGGTCAACTTGGGCATCTGTATGTTCATGGCATGTTCTGGGCGGGTGTGCCGAAGCCTAGCCTGGAGCTGTAAATGCTTCTGATTCAAGCTGACCTAGGACTTCACTTGAACAATACATCCTAAATGCCTGTGGGTCTCTGGGGACTTTCTACTCTCCATGGGATGGGTTTGACCTCTTTACCAAGCAATAGGTATATTTCTGTATATGCCCCAGCCCACTTGTGGGCACAAGGAAAAAGGAAATTCCTACAGATTGTTTTCAGACCCTGCTTATAGGTCGTTCCCACTATTACCAGCAGGGCAAAGGGTAGACAGTCTGGCAAAGGGGGACCATTTAGAGAACAGCAGGCAACTCCCATACCAGAGGACAAGGTGTGGCCAAGGGGCAGTGAGACTACAGAGGTGCAGAGACATAGGTGAAACCAAATGGTGCTCTGCCAGAAAACAGTTCTTTGGCTGACTTTCTCCTACCTATGTCTTAAATGAAATGCCCACGTGTTAGGGGTATTCAGGAGTGAATTTGTGGAGATAACTGGATTAGATGAGGTCATGAGGGCAGAGCTCCACATGTTGTTATTAGTATCTTGTAAAAAAATTATTTTTTGAGATTGTAATCTAATTACATAATTTCTCCCTTCCTGTTCCTCCCTTTAAGGAATTCCATATACCGACCCCCTTGCTCTTTCTCAAGTTCATGGCCTCTTTTTTTTTAAATAGTAATTGTTGTCATATAAATATATGCATGTTTACATAAATACAAATTTCTAAACACAAAAATTATAATCTGCTTGGTTGTATACATTATTATAGTAGTCTTTAAGAAGGCATACATGCTCACATAGTCCTCTGTCCCTTTTTAACACTCCAACCATGCTACACCCTCAGCAGGTGCCAGTAACCTGGCCTTAGACTTCCCAGCTTCCAGAACAGTAGCCAAATGAAATTCTGTTCTCCATAGGTGGTACACAGTCACAGAACAGACAGATGTGAAAACAACATCCAGTGATGTTCAGGTAGGGTGAATGTCAACAAAGTGTCAACACACCGCATGCAGCGTGGGAATACTTTCCAACCTCATGATAAAGGGTGCTGTTTTCAAACCTCATCTTCATTGTGACTTTTTCAGGGAGCCCCTTAATGCCTAGAGGAAGCACCCACAGAACTGCAAAACACCACCCACTTGGCTGCCATGGTCAGTGAACTCAGGTAGCAACTGGTGAACAGAGATTTCAATGCTTAACTGCATACCACACCTAGGGGAATAACTCCTTTGTGGAGTCAGATGCCCTGTGGGAGGCCCAAGAGTTTCTCTCCCTTCACCAGGAGTCAGAGGAGTGAGAGATCCCGCACGATGTCTGCTGCAATGATGTGGGCAGGGTTTTATACTCAGGGGGTGACTGCTTCTGAGTGCTCATTACTTCCTGGCAATGGAAATGGTGATCCATTGCTCTGTGCACTTAACAAGAAAAGGAGGAGGGTCAAGAGATGCAGCCAAAGACAGCCACTGCAGGCTCTGGGGTATATTCTTTTTTGTTCTTTATTCTGTCCATCTCTTCACACAGCTAAGAGCTTTACTGGAAATGCAGTTCTGTGTTCTCCCCCTTTTTAATGCATATTTTATATTTTTATTTATTTATTATTCATGTGTATGTGGGGGGGGTGCAGGTGCCTGCAGAGGTCAGGAGAGATTATCAATTCCCCTGGAGCTAGAATTGCAGCTGGTTATGAGAAGCCCAAGAAGGGTGCTAGGAACCAAACTCAGGTCCTCTTTGAGAGCAAATGCTCTTACATGCTGAGCCATCTATCTCTAATGTAATGCTATAAGCAATATAAACTCCCCATGAGTTTCACTTTAATAGCTGCATCATAGTTCCTAGATTGATAGACTATATGTTATAGACTATATGGTTGAGTCCCCTAGAAGTTCCTGTTCAAATTCTAACCTCTAAAAGGATGTTATTAGTAGGCAGAAATGTGAGGGGGTCATGCCAGAAAAGCTGAGCCTTCTGAGCCTTACAAAGGAGGTTCAAGAGACCTACCTTATCCCTTCCAGTGTGAAGGAACATTCTTGAGTCATGAGAGAAACCCAGTCAGATACCAACACATGGCATTTTAACATTAGACATCCCCAGACAGCCTCTGAACTGAAATATAGATGCTTTAGTCCGAGCCACACCCATCTGCAGTATTTTTGTTGGAGTGGCTTCAAATGATGTAGAAACCATTCCCCTGCTGAATGAAGTGTCCTACTTTTGCATATGTGATGCTGCGAGGCTTCTAAACGATATGCTAGAAGCCATCCCCCCCACTGTTTAGAACACTTCAAAACCTTTATGCGTTTGTGGCCCACATCCTCGGTTGTGGATGGGTATGGACAGGGAGGAGTATGGACAGGAGATAGTTAACTTCATAGGGGTCCAGAGACTTCTATTGCAGAGCATATACACACATATACTGAGGTCCTTTGCTTCTGATTAATCATATTAAGACAATCCTTTATAACAGGCCATCTGGAACACTATTTGAATGTACAGGAGAAGCATGATTACCTGCTACATGTCCAAGAAAATGAGACCCCGTGTCCAGACTCAATTAATTCTGTGACAGCACATAAATCAACAGGAAACATAGCCTCTGACACTGCTCAGCACTCGGCTCCTGAAGCATCCTAATGAGATGGGGATAAAGGCTCACTGTCGACAAGAAAGAGCTGCAATGTCCTCATTACACGTCACACTTGTCTTCTACACGGGAGAAGGCACTAGTTGGCTCTGAGAGGAGCTTGTAATGTAACAGATGGAGATGAAAATAGCTATTCAGCCACCACGGTCCAGGCTGAGGACAATCACAGCATACAGATAAGATGTGGACACAGCCAGGCTGGTGCCAACACTTCTGTCTTCCACTGTGGACTCGTATGTTGTAAAGATAATATTCTTTTGTTCTTTTCTAACATAATTTAGCTGCTTTGACTACACACAATTCACACTGACACAGTCTTAGAGTGCACTCATACAATCAACCCACACATTCTAGACAGAAGTTACCAGATTATTTTCCTTCAAGATCACAGGCAACTCTGAGCTCAGAGGGCCCAGTTCATTAATTCCTCTTCTAGAACCCAGACTGATGTCCACCACTGTCAAGCAAGACCTAGAACCTGCTTAGGATCACAGGGAGATGTGCTCTTCTTTTAAGGCACAAAACTGTTGAGCATACATTAAACCTTTATTAACGGGATCCTATTTAAACCAGCATTGACACAATCACAAGACAACTGTGTGACAATGGAGACTCTGTAAATGAGTTTAGCATAGAGAATGCAGTACTGTAGTTCAGTTACAGTCATGTACATACAGAGTAAATTGAGCAAATGCATTGAAACATTAAAGTATGGCCTTTGACTCATAGGACAATGACATTATATCTTCATGGCACTGCTATAGCCAAAAATTAAAGCAAAACAAAACAACAACAAAAAAAAAAAAAACTAGAGCCTCTCTGCAGGCTCTATGGAGCCCAAGAAGCCACATGGTCAGGTGGCTTTTGTACAGCAGGAAACACAGAGGTCTCAGCTCTTCTTAAGGGACACTGGATGGGGGTGTGGACTAACTTGCATGGGTTGCTTTGTTCCTCTGGGATACTTTATGCGTAGGTGTCTTCCCTACCACACCATTATCTCAGAAAAGAGTGCTGAGGAATGGCCTGGAAATGCAGCCATAAATTACTGTCAGCCCTTCTCAATCAGCAGCAAGGGTCACAAGAACTGGCTTTTCCAGAGTTCCATAATGGAACCTATACTGAGGCCATAGTTAATGTATATAGGTCAGCAATGGGCACGTGGACTTCTGCACAGAAACTTTAGTATCCTCGATGGTTACCTCTAATGAGTAAACAACAACAACAATAACAAACAGTGGATTCTTTTGCACAAGAACTTCTAACAAGCTTCTGGGAAAGGAAGTTGCTTGTTGAAGTTAGCCACTGTGTGACATATTCATTCCTGCAAGCCCTGGTGGGCTGCCATGCCTGTGGTCTTGAAAGTCTTCCTGAGGCCCATGTGTTAAAAGTTTGGTTCACAAAATGGTACTACAGGGAGCTGGTGAATCCTTTATAGACGTGTTGCTGTTCCCTATTTAGGTCACTAGAATTGTGCCCTTTATAGCTTTAGGACCCTCCTCTACTTCTCTTATGCTATCAACCTTTTCTTTCTATAAGTTGATGGTGTCATATTTGTTACAGTAATGGGAAGCTGACTGAGGTAGGGAATAACCAAGAGAGGTGATAATGATGATATGATGGCAACTGACACAAGCCCAACATCATCTTTTTCTCAGCATGCTTGAACAGCTTCTCCACTTAACAAACACAGGCTGATGATAACACTAACAATGTTGCTAAGCTCATCCTTTCCCAAAGCTGTTCTCAAGCCCAACATTCTCAGAGAACACAGTGACAAGATTGTGTGGTTTAAAAGGATTGTTTGTGCTTCTGTCCTGTTATTTCAATGTATTTCCAAGTGCACATATCAGTGGAAACTTAAAATAATCCAGGCACATGTTGGGTCCCATCCACACACCCACCACAACCCATCCATGAAATGTCAAAAAACCCACAGAAGCTAAGAATACAACCTTAATTTGAAGTCTGGACATGGCTGATGTGACCCTCTTGATAAGTTCATTTGGGCAGACCCTGATCTAGGATGACTATGCCCTACTGAAAGGGAACATGTGGAAATAGCTCTAGAAGAGAAAGCTGGAGTGCTTTTAGAATTGTGAGGCCATACATTTCAGCTGTTGGTGTCACCATTTGTGGGGACTTTGTTATGGTGGCCATGGAACATTAACACCACTCATAAAGAGAATGTGCACATCACTAAGAGTTTGGTGAAAGGTCCACAGGCAATTGGGGTGTTGTCTTTTTTCACTTTGGATTTGACTGTTGTTTCAGCTGTTCAGTTTCCCTTGCCCTTCTATATAAATTTTAGAAGCAATTTCTCCATATCTATTTTTTAAAGTCCTATCAGTATTTGATTGATTAGGGTTGCCTTGACTCCACAGAAAAACCTGGGGAGAATTTATATCTGAACCATATTGAATCTTCAAATGCATAAATGTGATAAATGTTCACATTTATTTAGGTCATCTTCCCTTTCTCTCAACATCATTTTGTACTTCGCAATGTGCACATTCTACATGCTTTCTTAATGTAATTATTCTCTCCCTCCCTGTCTGCCAGCCTACCTTCTTCCTTTCCTTCTTCATGCTATTATAAACATCATTTTCTTTCTACAACTGGCTATTGAGTTTAGTATAGAAATATTACTGATTATTGAATATTAGCCTCGCTGAGTTACTTAGGACTTCATCATCTCCATTGCCTTTCTTTCAATCCTAAGATTTCAAGTGCCTCTGTTCAACTGCAAAAGTAGTCATCACACATGATGCTGATTAACAGCATACACACACACACACACATGCACACACCCACACACACATACATGCATGCATGAGCATACACACATATACACATAAATACACAAAATTGTGGTCTAGTGATGCCATGATCTTCAGAGCTTGTATAAGCATGAGTGTCTCACAACAAAACCATTAATGACACACTTCAAATAACATCCCCATCTTGACATGATGCCTTTCTTAAACCATTCCTTTAAAGCAGGTACCCTGCAAACAAATCCTCTTAGGTTCCCTTCATCTGACAAATCCTTTTCTTCAGTTTCATTCCTGAAGAATTTAGTCACTGAATACAGACTTCTAAGCTCATGGTTTGTTGATGTTATTGTTTTAACATTAAAGACATCATTCCACTGTCTTCTGCCCCCTGTGGTTTCTAATGAGAAATCCAGTTACTGAGCACTGTTTCTGCTACAATGAGCCTGCTGTGAAGATTCTGTGTTTAGGCTCAATTTTCAGAGGAATGATGACTATGTGTCTATGTGAGATTTTTCTTTTGGCTTATACTGTTGGGGGTTTTTAGCCTCTGTAGTCCATAAGCCTATACATTCACTGATGTGACATGTTTTATGGTTTTGATTTCATCATATGGTTGTAATTTGGTATGAATTGTTGTTTGAAACAGGGTCGTACTCTGTAGCTCCGATGGCCTAGAACTCATGATCCAACTTACTCTACCTCCAGAATGCTAGGATTGTGAGAGTATGACACCACACCCAGCTACAGGTATGTGTGCTGGTGCCCACCCAACCCCCTCCGTGTGCACGCGCGCATGCGCGCATGTATGTGTGTGTGTGTGTGTGTGTGTGTGTGTGTGCATGTATGTATGTGTAAAGGGAACATACACAGCTTTCTTTTCACTAAGGAATTTCAATGATATGGATCCTTGCATTTCTGATACTATTCTAGTAGTCTCCAAGGACTTGCTATTTATTGAAAACGTTTTCTTTCTGTTACTTGGGGGTAATTCTATTCATCTACTTACAGACAGCTAATTCTTCCTTATGTCATGTCTTTTTGTTTCTTGGATCATCCAATGGATGTCTTTATTTCATACAATTTTTAAGTTTGAAATTTTCCATTTTATTCTTTTTTTTAAAACTTTATATTTGTCTAATAAGAATTTCTTTTCACTTAAAAATTGCTAACATCTACTTCATGAGACACTTTAAAGTCCTTGGCAATTACAATATCTATGCCACCTCAGGGTGACATTATTTTTCCAACTTCAGAACTGGCTACTTTTTAAAGAATAAAATCTTGATTGACTGAAGAATTATGTAGATTTTCTTGAGGCTTTGAGATCAAAGAAAATTGGGGTTCACCCTAGACGTTGTTAGGATTCCCTTTGGAGACTCTAGTGAATATGAAAGTTTTTTTCTGTTTGGTGCCTTGGGCAATCTACACACTTAGATTCAGACCTCAGCTCTGTCCCAATATCTTCAGGAGGTGACTCTGATGTCAGCTCAGTTTCAAAAGCTTTGCCGTGACCACTGAGTCTCTGTCTCATATGAGCTGTCTAGGGATTAAATATGGGCTCAGGACCATGGCTCACAATGCAACGTCATTCCAAAGCCCTTGCTAAGCTTCTGTGGATGTATCTGATACATACATCTGATCAAGACTCACCGGTAGGTAGGTAGTAGACAGGTAGTTAGCAGGTAAATAGGGAGCTATCTTCTCCAAGATTTCTTTCATATCCAACTACCAAAGAATCCTTGTTCTGGCTCCTCCCTCCACACAGTTGGGCAGACTCAAGAGTTTTAGCCTAACACCCAGTTCCATAGTTTTGCTCAGCTGAAGGCTAAGGACAGAACAGCAAGGGAGGAGAAGTGGGAATCCCCATGATATACACATAATAATTAGTTCCCCTGTCCCTGTTAGCCTGCATGCCGGTCCTCTGGCCAGAAAGGCCCAGAGTTCTACCATCCCTGCTCATTAAGCATTCTCTCAAAGGAGCCAGCTCTGCTATTGAAGGGAAGTAAAAAAAAACCCAAAGCAGAACTGAATGCCAAAGCCCTGGGCATATAAGCCCAGGCCAGCCTTCCCTGGACATTGCCAGTGAAAGAGACCAGCCATGGGGTGGTGATGCCATCTGACCAGCACTGTGCACTCTCCATTAATCTGGATATTGATTTTCAAAGGTACTTCAAATTAAAAACTTACTTTACTTTTATTTCATTCACTTCAA